TATTTTCGCAGAAAGAGAAGTCTGAAGATCTAATACGTCTTGATTCGACATCTTCAGAGATAGATGATTTCGATCCCCTGAAGTCTAAAAATTCAACTCCAGAAAATGGGGCACCTCTAAGTCTAGCGAATCCGCTTTACAATCTTTACGAAATTCCAAAAGTGCACAATAACAGACAGAACGGAAGTGTCCCTACTAATGATTCTCAAGATGTTAAAAATGACCAGGATTTGCTGCAGGAATATGGGCTCAACTTTAAAAATTTCAAATCCACATTTGGAGATGGCAGCGATGTATTCGATCCCTTCGGTGTTGGTACGAGTAAAGTTAAAAGTAAAAACGAATGGACCAAGTTCGAATAGGATCGATCATTTAATATGGCTTTGAAAGAAACGTCATCAATGCTAAAGGTAAATGCACTCATTTCTGTTTTTACGCCAAATATTTTCATATTAACCCATTTAAATAAAAACTAAATTTCTCTCTCGATTTATACGAGCTTCTTAATTAAAATTCTAATAATTAAGTGAAATTAATCTGTAAGTATTGTTAAAAGAAAATATTAAAATACGGTAGACGCTCAATAGTTTGAACCTATAAAAAACCACATTTTTTAATTAATTTTTCCAAAAAGGGAAGTAAATTTCTAACTACTTTATAATAGAAAGTTATTTATTTTTTTTTAATCCTACCTGTATGTTAAATGTCAAACAATATTAATACATTGATCCATACTTTAAAGTAAAACTACTACAACTATAAAAAGAATACATAGTATCGTTTTATTCTTAAGCACCTTATATATCGGGGATTTGCTGCAATGGCGTAATAGCAACGGTGAAATATCGATTTTTCAAGGTTAATGGACATTCGTTTCTACAACCGAATGTTTAGAATTTGTTCATTGCATACGGCGGCCGAATGTAGTTAATATGCTGTTCACATTATTGCGAATCTATTGTAATGATTTATTTTTCATTTTTTTGATACTTCATTATTGTTGTAGAACATTTTTGTTGGCTGTGAAGTAAAGATGATTCCCAACAGAACGTATTTAAAGTCTAACCACCGAAAGTGCGCAATCACGACAACGTAACATAAATAATGATATAATCCATTAATTATTATTAAATAAGAAAAAACTAAATTGCAAAACGTTTCCATTTTTTCTACATACATATATTGCTATGGGATTATTTTTGTGTTAATTCTTGTAAAAGTAATTCAGACATTATTGTGCTTTAATTTCGAAATGGGTAAACTTTTTGCGCTTTATATAATAATTATTACATAATCGCAGTTCTAAGACTGATAGAAGTTTTGCAAACGGACAACATTTATAAAATTTTTAATAGAGTATTATCTAACGGTGATATTTCTGCCTAATTTTTTAATATATTATAATTTTTATGCTGCACATAAAAATAAAGCATCACGCATAGAAGACAGATCAAGGCATCACATTATTACAACGAAGCCAGTTAAAAAGTAATTCTAAAATAGTAATCATACTTATAACGAAACTGTTGAGTTATTTATTTTTTAGTTTCAATTTGATGTTTGCCTTTTAAATAAGTAATTAATTATATTGGAGGCAAAAGCCGCCGAAACTTTTAAGTAAAAAGTGGGTAATTTATTTAGTGAATTAATTTAAATTATTACACTGTATTTGAAGTAATTAATTGACAGAACGAATCCTGTAAAATTGATTGATAGATTGCTTATAACTCAGTCTAATACCGTGCCAACAATATTAATTAAAGTCCTCCTCCAGTATTTTATTTGAGTCAGTGCAGTTGTACTTTGTTTATTCTCCCATAAAACTGCATATTATATATTAAGGACGCACCAGTTATTTTTATAAATTTTGTAAATTGTATACGTTAATTTTTGTTTATTATGTTATAATTAGTATGTAGAAATGTTTTCTTTATTTATTTTAATTTTTCATCCTACAATATTTGTTTGTATAACTTGTTCATTTATGCTTTCGTTTTTTAACTAACTTTATTTCATTGTGTTATGCTTTTATTTGTGCGTGTTGTTGTCATCACATACTGGTGTGCTTTTGCAGTTAAAACCGGTTAGGAGTTTGGAGAACTTCAGAAACTCCAATTCTCCAATTTCAAGCCCCGAACACTGGACGTTTGCTTCGCGTTCGGGTGCTCGTGCACTTTCACCTTCCTCACGTCTCTTTCATTCGAACAGTAACAAATCACAGGAAACTCAAAATCTTCTGCTTTCTCCCGATGATGTTTTATCATCACCGCCCGTTCCTCCTCCACGACCCACGACTAGTAAACAGGAATTCTTTGCGACAACACCGTTTGTTGTCGGTGGGGGGCGGTGCGAAAACGGTGACCCCGTCTTTTACATTGCTAATCATCATTCGGTAGATATGGTTAAACTGTCTCCGCCCACTGCTTCACCACGAAAAAAGGTAAATGGAATGAAAGGGTGCATTACATGTTTTAGTTGTGGGATATGGTGCGGAAGTTGTCTTTTACGAATTTCCTT